CAGGAGAGAAAGGGGAGAAAAAGCGAGGAGAGAGAAAGCGAGGAGAGACAGCTGGGAGAGAGAAAGCGAGGAGAGACAGCCGGGAGAGACAGCCGGGAGAGAGAAAGCGAGAAGAGAGAGAAAGCGAGGAGAGAGAGAAAGCGAGGAGAGACAGGAGAGAGAAAGCGAGGAGAGACAGGAGAGAGAAAGGAGAGAGAAAGTGAGGAGAGACAGCAAGGAGAGTGTCACGTCCTGCAATGAACGAGTATGAACCACAACTGCGGAGGAAGGGGTGGCAGTAGTTAAGGGGTGTATTCCTCAAAGTATGGCACTCAGTACTGAACTCTGGGCATCACTCTTAATTTTAAGCGAAGAGTTTGGAGTTCATTACATCATCTGCCCGAATAATTGGGGATCTTTTTATAATGTAGGCAGGGAAGGTATTACCTCATACCCCCTATCTGTAGATAACTTAAAGACACCTCCTAGTATTGCAGGTGTAATCAATGTGTAACAAAGCCGTATGTTAGATTCACATCCAATTATCTTAAAGAGTCCATAGAGAACTTTCCAGTACGGGGTTAACTTAAAAACATATGCAAGTAATAAATGCTTCCTTGGTATTATCTCAAGTATGAAGGTAAATTAAAGTCACATGCAATTAATAAATGCATCCCTGGTAAGATCTCCAATATGAATGTAAAATAAAGTCAAAATCAAGTAATAAATGCATCCATGGTAATATATCCAATATGGAGGTAAATTAAAGTCAAAAGCAGATAGTATAAGGCTGCAAGGTACTTATCCGGATCCTGGGGGTTGCTTCCTGGCACAGCTCCAATGGTTTTGGGGTCCGGATCAGGGGGTCTCCCAGGGGCTGCAGGCAGGCAGTGTCACTTCATCCAGATTGGGATAGTGGTTAGCGTTAGCTGGGGGTTTTGCAGGCGTTCAGACTGCAATAAGGGAACGCCGTGCATTTCCCCCAAGCCGGTTTTAAATGTTTGAGGAAGTGCGGGTGGGAGGAGCCGCACGCTCCACTCGGCACTTCCGTGTTCCAGCGTGGAACGCAGCGGCGCCGCACACCCGCGTCATCACGCCGACGGCTCTTACAGAGAGAGAAAGCGAGGAGAGACAGCCGGGAGAGAGAAAGCGAGGAGAGACAGCAAGGAGAAAGAAAGCAAGGAGAGAGAAAGCGAAGATGGACAGCAATGAGAGAGACAGCAATGAGAGAGACAGCAATGAGAGAGACAGCGAGGAGAGACAGCCAGGAGAGAGAAAGCGAGGAGAGACAGACAGAAGAGAAAGAACACGGAGAGAGACAGCCAGGAGAGAGAAAGCGAGGAGAGACAGCCAGGAGAGAGAAAACGAGGAGAGACAGCCAGGAGAGAGAAAGCGAGGAGAGACAGCCAGGAGAGAGAGCGAGGGGAGACAGCCGGGAGAGGTAGAGAGCGAGGAGAGATCGTGAGCAACACATCTGCCTGAAGAACCCCTGTGCCCTTCAATATTTATTTACACCCTGTGTTTTAGACACCTCCTTGCTCCCTAAGTTTCAGCATCCCTCTATGTCCCGCACCTCCTGCATGCACTCATGTTGGAACACCAGGACCCCGTGGTTGCCCCTGTCCACCTGACATCTTGTGTCCGGGCTTTTGCTGGCCTGAAACCCAGACACAGCACATACAAGACTCAAAACCTGGAGTGTCTAGGTGAATCCTGGGCAGGTGGCAACCCTACACCGGAGAACAATTGGGAGACAGGGAAGGGACAGAGCATTGTCACCCTATAACGGGAAGTAACTGCACAAAGACTTCATGGTAGAATTAACAGGTATTATTTTCATAAACACAGCAGATTTACTGACTGCAAAGTTTTGATGATAAAACTTTATAAAACTATAGTAATGTGCAGATCTGATTAGCTCAAGTAAATGAGGAAATGCTGCAAGTATGGGAAGGGAAGATGAGGAGAAAATCAATGGAGTTTTTGGAATGAACGATGGAGGGTACAAACAAATTAAGGTGCAGAAAACATATCTGCTGAGCCAGACATTGCATTATACATAGTAGATTGAGATGATAGGGAATGTAGAGATAATGGAAGAGGGTTGATAATAGAAAAGCAGAGAGTGGGGAGGTATCAGCAGGTCAAGGAAAATATATATAGATGATATCAAACACCATCATGTTTGAGAACCTGAAGCTGGGAGGAGGGACAAGAGGCAAACGATAGAATTATGGCCACACGTAGGCCACTCTTGGACTATAGTAGTGTGGAGTAAGGAGGCATAGAGGAATGGTCTATGGGCACCAAAAAAAACAAACTGTTTTTATATACATTTGCTAAACAAGGCTCATGGCTGGCAAGTTCTTACCTGTAGAATCTACGTCCAGGCAGCCCCAAAGGATCAATAAAGGCCCGCTCCAAGAACATAAGCTGATCATTCACTGATCTTATTGCAATTGGGCTATCATGACAAAAACACATTCATTAGATGTATTTTCTCTCATTTTAAAGAAGCACTCTAGGCAATCCAAAAATAAACCCTTGCAGTGGGGCTACTCCTGCACTACAAAGGTTAACCGCTCATTTTGGTCTAGGGGCTTAAGAAGATATGCTCACCTGATCCTCGGTCCTGCGACGCTGACCAATCTCCTCTCTCTCTCTCTGTCCTGACGGTGAAATGTTCCTCAGCGTCCTCACGTTTAATGCAGTTGCAAGACGACATCCTGGATCCTTAGATGGCTGGAGCCCGGGGGAGAAGAGGCTGTGGAGGCCAGAATATAAGCAGCCAAGCGGGACTGAAGACCAGGTGTGTGTATTTTATTTATTTTTGCCCCTAGACCAAAATGAAGAGTTAACCCTTGCAATGCAGGGGTAGCCCCCTACTGCAAGGGTCAATTTTTCGATTGCCTACAATTCTTCTTTAAATCATAATGTTGTTATAGTCTGTTGTGTTTTACTATATATGCATACACAAACACATATACAGTATATATGTCACATCAGTCCCCGCCTCTGAGGAGCTTATAATTCTAATATTTTGCACATACCCTCCCCAGTCATGCATGCGCACAACAACAAATGGCAACATACACTTTTATTTCCTAGATCTTACTCACTTGTACACATCAAGGTTTCTCATTCTTTCGTTGAACTGTGTTGCTGTTCTTGTGAAGTTTACAACAGCAGAAAATAGTGGATCTGAGGAACAGGAAAGGCAAAAAAAAGAGATCAATTACCCTGATTAAAATTAATGTAGTGTGGTAAAAGACTCAAGTCTAATGAGAAACCAGGATATAAATTTCAAAATAAATAAGCAACTGGTGAAATCACTAAATATAAACCAATGAGATAGTTTCTCTGCAATAGTATAGCAGCTAATACATAGCACAGGGTCTCACACCATGAAAATGTTGGTATCCGCATCCCCCCCCATGAAAATGTTGGTATCTGCGTCCCAAATGAACCCCCTCCCCCATGAAAATGTTGGTATCTGCATCCCACACCTTTATCTGTATCATGCATAGCCTTGCTGGTTTCCCTTCCTCACCTCTGGAAGGATTTCACTCTGTGTTGTGGCCTCTGGACAGGAAGTCTCCCTAATGGGACACGGATGGCAAAAAAAAGCTGACAGAGGTTATAACCGCCCTTACAAAAAAAAATCTGGATACAGTTCTACTTTAAGTGTTCACTGAACTTGAAATTAGGACACATGGGACGGCATCTAGATATAGGGAGGCTCTAAATGTATCCTTGTGCACACATCTCTCCAAAGTTAAGAGTCCCTTTGTTCCCATTCCCAATTGTATCACCATCTTATCGTGGTGAGATGGCTTGTGTGGCCAAATGAACCTTGGAGCTGTGCCAGAAAGAGACCTTGTTTTTGGTAGGGACACCCAATCCAGACAGATCTTAAGATGATGGGCCATACTAACGGCAATATGCAGGTCTTTTACATTGGGCATGTGAATGGATCTACAGAGCAGTTACTCCACCGGCTGAGCCTTCATGCATATTTCCCAGCTATATATATATCCAGGGACATTAGGGTGCCAGGGAGGGCTTCTGGTTATAGTGTAGGTAGGGGAAGAAAGCAAAGCCCAATCTCTGCAGACCATGTCACTGCCCAGCAGATGAAAAAGACATATCAGCTTAGACAATTATCAGAACTTACCAAATGAAACATTATAAGTTTTCATTTGTGATGAGTTATTGGCCATGTTGAATATGATGTCAGCATAGTTCTTGATAGCATCGGCATAGTCTCGAACATCAAAAGGCAGAATGACAGAGTCGGCCAACTCAAACACAAGTCCTCCCCGTACTTTAGCCACTGACAAGTGGTTCTTATAGAGTGGGTCATAAAATCTGTCAACGATCTCAAATGTCTCATACACACTGTGATACACTGGATAACCGCTGTATCTTCCCTCTTTCTGGAAATTAAATGAGAAATGAATGTCATTTTTACAGGTATATTTAATTTTTGCCCCTTTACTCGCTTTGCTGTGTATTTTTTGGCCCAATCGCTTTTGCTATTGATGATCACAAACTGTTCTCCTATGGTTGAGAACTCAGCTCTCCATTCCCATAGTTACTTATTGGTCATAAGGATCACTTATTATAGACCTTGGCCAACAGTAAGCAGCAGGGGCAGACCGGGCCAAGCTCATAGAATTATATTAAAGTCAAAGGGTTTTTTAAATCTTTTTTTAAATGCTGATTAAAACACTTACAATGGACGCTGCTCCTAGATGTTTAAAAGCTTAGCTTCCTGCAGAATCAGATGGTCCCCTGAGCACTGGCCCTGATATTCTGTCTTAGGGTGACCTCTTTCCCTTGCAGGGGCCTATAGAGCCCCCTTTGTGTGCTAGTAAGCTGTGTGTGTCTCCACAAACACACTAGCACTAGGGTTGTCACCTGATTGCCAAGCAAAACCCGAAGACTCTAGCACCGCATGGCAATTTTTATGCCAGGATATACAGGAGAGAGACGAGAGAGAGAGAGAGAGACACAGACAGAGAGAGAGCGCGAGAGGAGAGACAACCAGGACAGAGAGGGAGGAGAGAAAGCCAGGAGAGAGAAAGGGAGGAGAGAAAACCAGGAAAGAGAGGGAGGAGAGACACAGCCAGGAGAGAAAGGGAGGAGAAATGAATGCAGCTCTGTAATCAATAATGCATCATTAGATGTATTTTTTTTAATTGCAAGCAGTGTAAATACCTGAATTTGAGAGTTTTATTACTTTCAGACAAAATATAGCAACATATTAGCAACATATATCACATCAGTTGAAGTTCTCCAATTAGTTAGACTTGTATGAAGAAGGAAAGCAATTCTGAAACCGTGATATGCTGTGTACACCTTTCCTAACTGACCCTAAAGTTAATCTGTGGTATTCAAAGATTTACATTTTCTTAACAAGGACATTAGCCTAAAAGCAAGCCATGCCTGACCTCTGCAACTGTAAGCACTGTGGAGCAATTAATACTAAAATCCATGACATTGAATTACAAAGAAAAAGAAAAGAATAAAAACTGACCCTGCCTTCTGGTTGCCAGTTATAAACGGACACCCGGTCATTTACATAAGATTGCCCATAGACTAGCATTGGGCACAGGGCTGGAGAGTAAATTCGTTTATAACTGGTTATCCCCGATTCAGGTCTGGAAAAACAAAATGGATCAGAGGTTCGTTTCGTTGGACCTGATCATGGACCTAATCATGCTGGATTGGGGTAATCTGAAGTAATAGGACACATGTCCGTTTACATCCAGTCCCCTATAGAGCCTAGGTTCTCAACTGGTGGGCCGTGACCCAAAAGTGGGTCATGACCCGTGTCTTGTGTGTCGCCACATGCCTTCCACTTTTCTAGGTGAGAGGATCCGCAGTCTCCCCCTAGCACAGTACTGTCCGTTCTCGCATCGAGCAGCCATTCAAAATGTGCTGCCCGGAGTATCGACTTGAGGTGGGATGGGGCTATGGCCGCGAGGGAGCTCCATCCATCCATACGTGCATTGCTTACAGCTCCCTTGCATGCCTCATAGAGGTGCCTGGACCAGAGTGACATCACATTCTGGCTCACCTCTACGGGCACGCATGGGAGCTGTACAAGCAATGCACATATGAATGCAATCGCATCTACTGTGCGTTCTGGTGTGAGAGCTGCGTTGCACTGCCATTCATTTGAGTGGCACCCCAAACGCACCTCCCACCCACAGTTTAATCCCCTGCACCAGAAAACACGGTAGCGCAATGCTGTGCGTTCCATTGCAGAGCGACTTGGGTGGCGACTTAATGACCAAGGACAAATGTGGGTCCTGAGGTTACACAGGTTGAGAACCACTGTTATAGATGGACATGGGGTCCGGTTATTTCATTTTCTTCCACCATTACAAGGAAAAAACTGGACAGACATGGATGTCACAGCGTTGACATCCTATGTGTAGTGCTCCGATCAGGAGGGCATTCGTGCATAGATCCTCCTCTGGTCAACCTGTGTGAGATGGTCCTTAATGGTCTTCAGTGCTTTTGCTATGAATTTTGAGGATGGATTGCCCCAAAGTACCTGCAGAAGTGATGCAGATCCTCTTAATGTTCATTTACTGCTGGTCAAGAATATGTAAATGCATGAAGCCTGGCCACAGAGCTACTATAAAGAGGAGATCAGCAATAAAGATCAACTTAGTCACAACGTGGTGTCTACCCGTCATCACTTCTCCCGGTTTGAGCTGTCCATCGACAACGCATGCATACATTAAGAGAAAACTCACTGGCTTGTATATACGTCCTGCCAGAAGCAAGAGCATGTTCTCATGACGTTCATCTACATTGTACAGTCATGAAGTAGTTAAGCAAAAATCCTGAAAATAATTAGAATGCTAACAACATAAATCTGAGAAGAAAAAGATACAACTATTTTGACACAGGTTCAAGCGGATGACCAGCCATATAGTTTTTATTTACTTGTTCTTGGAATTTATACTATTTTATTTTTTTTGGCTGTCACTGGTGCCAGCATCGAGCTGCAGACAATTACAGCATTTAAGTCTTCAGCGTGCTGTTGGAATTCGATAACAGCTATTTAGCCTGTCACTCGGTGGAAGAGCAGGATGAGTCAGTGCCGTTGATACATATGAACCGTCCTGCCTACTTACCAGGTGCTCGGGTACAAAATACTAACCCTATTTTTAGTATACCGAGCTCTTCCTGAAGCAATGCCAAGCCGCTGGAAAAATACTTCGAAATCGTTTCCCGAACCCAGCTTATTTATCCTTATAGAAAGCAAAAGGGAAAAAAAGAAGATATGTAAAGAATGAATATATGGAACACATTAGACATGATATACAATATAAATGGTCACCAAGCCTAAACCAAAAAGATTATTTATATGGAGTGAAAGTTGTTATCTGTGTTTTACCCAAAATGTCCCTTATTTTCACTGATCCCATCTTTCCCAGTTTAACGTGACACTGAACTCAGGAGTTAAATCTTAAAAATGCATTCAAGTGTTGTAAATGATGATTGAAGTAGATATATTAGGGGTATTTTTAGGGTGTGTGCTTTATGTATTGCAGGAAATTATGTTATTTACCATACCTATGCTAACTAGGTTTTTATTGCGTAAGTTTATTGACCAGCTGACCATCCTGTTTTTAGGGTGTTGATTGTACACAAGGGAACAGCTGTAGGGAATTTTGTCAAAACCTGTTTAGTTAACTAACATCAAAGGGGTAATTAAACCAGCCAATCAGAAATCCTTTCAGTGTGAAGGTGGCCATACACTTTACAACCATCGCAAGACCTTAGTCTTGCGATGGTTGTAAAGTACTTTAAAAAAACGTACGTTCTGCCCATGTTGGACAGGCAGATCGTACTCTCGATCATCGCAAGCCCGCCCCCCTGTGGGGCGGGCTTACGATGACTGTAATGAGGGGCGGGCTTACGATGACTGTAATGAGGGGTGGGCTTACGATGACTGCAAACAGGCAGTGTGCGAGCCAGCAGGCCACTAACTCGCCGAGAATCGTACGATTCCCGGCGGGTTTTGTAGCATGCTGGTTCGACGGAAGACGTGCGACCGTACATTAGAAGCGGTCGCACGCCTTCCATACACTTCATAATTCTCGTACGATCGCGGGATTTCCTGCGATTCTCATACGAGAATCGTGCATTGTATGGGCACCTTTAAGGTGCCCATACACTTTACAACCCTCGCAAGACTTTTGTCTTGCGATGGTTGTAAAGTACTTAAAAAAAGTACGATCTGCCCATCTGGGACAGGCAGATCGTACGTGCGATCATCGCAAGCCCGCCCGATCATCGCAAGATTCTCGGCTGCTTTTCCAACATGCTCGATATACAAAAGTTGTGCAACCATACATTAGAAGCGGTGGCACGCCTTCCATACACTGCACGATTATCGTACGATCGCGGGATTTCCCGCGATTCTCGTACGAGATTCGTGCAGTGTATGGGCACCTTTAGTGTATGGCACTAAACTGTATATGAATTTAGAGCGTACAGTGGCTGGGGGAATCAGAGTCATGAAGAGAGGCACAGAGGTGATATATATAGATTGGAGATATATGCTGGGTAGATGGAGTGGGTCCTCATGGAACCTTTGTCATCAGAGGTCTAGATATTTTATTTTGATTATTACTCTGTCGGACTGTTCCTGTTCATCTGCTTTTGTTGGATTAAACGCTACTCTCTGGTAAAAAAAAACTGAGGTTGCCTGGATTTTCACAACGCAAATAAATATATATGTTTGGGTATTTATATATTTATACACCCGAATATATTTGATCACTACATCAAGTACCATAACTATTAACAGAAATGTATCTTATTTGTGTATCACTCGGCTGTAGATCCTCAAATCATCTCTGAATTGGTGCGGACACTGTCCTTCTTTCTGGAAGGTGGTTACTTTTGCTCCCTATGGTCCCTGTATATGTTGTAAAGTAAAGTAGTCACCGCTCCAAGCTCGCTCCTGTGATGGACTACAATCTCAATACAAATTAGTAAACTAAACGTGACATTGTAGTCCATCATGGGAGTGAGCTTGGAGCGGTTGCTACTCTACAACACACACAGGGACCATGGGGAACAAAAGGAAGGACAGTGTTGGCACCAATTCAGAGATGATTTGAAGATCTACAGCCGAGTGATACACAAATAAAATACTTTTTTTGTTAAAAGATAAAGGGAACCTAAATGCATTTGCACCCATCCAGTAATGGAACATGCCAGCATAGGATTTTTGCAGGCATCCCGTACAGGCGCCCCCATCTACACCTTTTAAAGCACAACAACGCTATGCATGAAGAATCCCATTATTTTCAATGCTGCCTGTTCACGCCTGAGCATTGCGTCTCCTGTCCATTGTAGACTGAATCTCAGAAAACTACATGAGATTTTTTGGGGGCTCAGAATTGTGCATTTTTAACTCCATAGACTTCAATGGGGGCCATTGGTGTATTTTGGTTTTGTTCTGCCCTAGGCAAGACTAAACCCGGGCACTGCCCCAATCTAAACTTGCCCCACCCCTTCCTTTTTAAGACATTTTGCGTAAAGTGTCAGTCGCTGGATACAGCGGGCACGCTGCATCGTTTCTGTGCTTAAATTGAATAACATTTTGACTTTAAATATGCTTTAACAGGTCAGATCTTTAGAATTTTTACCTTGGAGAATTCTTGTACTCTGTCCAGTTGTCTTTCAGATGCCAACTTTCATAAAGAGATTTTCCTTCAAAACCCTCATCTGGGCTGGAGATCTGAAAGAACACACTCAATACATAAAACATAGGCCTGTGATATATATATATATATATATATACACATACACACACACATACTCTATATCCAAAGCATTGGATTCAGGTGTTCCGTGAAATTTCCATGGTCACCTGTTAGTGGTGTTATAACAAATTGGAAGCAACTGAGAGCAACAGCAACTCAGCCATGAAGTTATAGGCTACCTAAAATGACGGAGCGGGGTCAGTGCATGCCGAACTGCACTGCGCGCAGATGTCGCCAACTGTCTGCTGAATCAATAGCTACAGACCTCCAAACTTCGTGTGGCCTTCAGATTGGCACAACAACAGTACGTAGAGAGCTTCATGGAATGGGTTTCCATGGCTAAGCAGCTGCATCCAAGCCTTATCACCAAGTGCAATGCAAAGCGTCGGATGCCGTGGTGTGAAGCACGCTGCCACTGGACATGTCTGGGTTTGGCAGTTGCCAGGAGTACGGTAGTTGCCTGACTGCATTGTGCCAAGTGTAAAGTTTGGTGGAGGGGGGATTCTGGTGTGGGGTTGTTTTTCAGGGGTTGGACTTGGCCCCTTAGTTCCAGTGAAGGGAACTCTTAAGGCATCAGCATACCAAGACATTTTGGACAATTTCATGCTCCCAACTTTGTCGGAACAGTTTGGGGATGGCTTCTTCCTGTTCCAACATGACTGCGCACCAGTGCACAAAGCAAGGTCCAAGAGTTTGAGGTGGAGGAACTTGACAGGTCTGCACAGAGTCCTGACCTCAACCCGATAGAACAACTTTGGGATGAATTAGAGGTAAGACTGCGAGCCAGGCCTTCTCGTCCAACATTAGTACCTGACCTCACAAAGGTACTTCTGGAAGAATGGTCAAACATTCCCATATACACACTCCTAAACCTTGTGGACGCCTTCCCAGAAGAGTTGAAGCTGTTATAGCTGCAAAGGACGGGCCAACTCAATATTGAATCCTACGGACTAAGACTAAATATCAGCCACAGTTGAGAGTGAACTGGTCTCTTATTCCCAACTTTCAAATTTTATGGTCCTGTCTAAAGGCCTAAAATTGCACTCACTGTCAGATCTACACTCACTCGTATTCTTGTATATATTGAAATATTACTGGAATTGTGTTGCAGCAGCTCTGAGGCTGAATTGTATGCCATGGAAGCAAAAACAATTGTAGCCACCACACTGTTCTCCACCATTGAAGGTTTCAGTTAATTTACACTTGGTAGAAGGCAACAGGAGACTACTGCAGCATCCTGAAGAGTACAACTTCAGTTTCTGGTGTATCGATTCATTTTTCATACATAAACTGAAGCCATGATTATAAAAATTACCTCTTTTGTCAGTTGATACACCAGCTGGTAAAGTAAAGGCGTGCAATCCACCCTCAAGGTATAGTTACCTAAAAAGGAAGAACAAATCATTTTTAAAGGACACCTCCACCAAGAGAGATTTCTAGGCACATATATTTTTGCAGACCTTTTTTTGAAAATATTTATTGCCCAGCTGTAAGACTATACAGTATTTGGTGAGCGTCGCCATCTTGGATCCCGGTCAGTTTATGTACAAGCACTAGCCATCCAGGGATCTGTCATTTAGTGATGGTGGTGCTACCATTGCTAAACACCAGGCTCCCAAGCTGGTTTAGTTACAAATAGAAGCGGGTCAACATCCTCGGGTGGTAGGTTGTGACAGCATGGAAACATCAGGCGGCAGGGAAACATTTTTTTATCAGTGGGTCATCATGATTGACAAAGATCTACAGCACAGTATGACTAGAGTGATGTTGGATTTACATGGAAGAACATGGTTTACCTTTTTTTGTTTTGGTCTTTTTTGGTATTTCCCTTTCCTTTTTGGGGGGGTGGGGGGGATGAGTAAGTAGGGGCACTAATGTTCCCTGTACTCATTCCCATATAGAGAAGGAATAGATATCTTCTGGGGGCCTCCTTTTCATAAAGGGGGCTTCCAGATTCCAATAAGTCTTCCCACCAGAAACCCTTACATTTTTTTGAGGCAGATGTGGGTATGAGATCCTTGTCCCTTCAACCTTGGCTATGCTGCCCAGCCTTGCAAGGTACCCTTCTAATGTTGAAGGCATGTGACCTGGTATGGTTCAGTAGAGGGGGTGCATGCTTGCTGCCCACCCTTTCCTGGCCACCCAGGCTGCATTCCTGAATAAGGGCCTGGTATGAGTTTTAGAAGTAAATACACAACACTTTTTACCCATTTTTTATGTTTACTGTATCTTAAAATAAATTGTGGGACCCCCTTAAAATATCAGATCCTTATCTAGGCATTCAGCTTGGATGACCAGCATCTGGGCCCCTGTGAGTTATGTGGTCCAGGACTCTGTCGCAGTGGGGGATGTGGGCCTCCTGGCTTCTAGGTTCAACAACAAACTGAACAGGTTTTAATCCAGGTCCAGTGATCCATTTGCAGAGGCAGTGGATGCTGTAGTGGCTTTATGGGAGCAATACACCCTAATCTATGCATTTTCTCTTCTGACTCTTCCAGGTCTGATCCACAGGATTAAGATGAAGAACATTCAGGTGATGCTTATTGATGCTGATTGGAATAGATGGATGTGGTAGGCTGGGTTCACATCTAGGAGTATCGAATATGCGCGTTTGTCGATTCGCGGTAAAAAAAATGCGCGACAAACACGCGTTTCCGAGGGCTACCTGGCTGTATCCCAATGGATATGCGCGGCAAATACACCCCAAAGAAGCTCCTGTACTTCTTTGGGCGAAGGTCGTTTTGTAGCGCGTTCATACGGCCTGTAATACGCCCATGTGTGAACCATACCCATAGGAAATAATGGGATTTAGATGTTTGAGCGTTTTGCAGAGCGTAGGAACGCGCTACAAAACGCCCAGGTGTGAACCGGGCCTTACGCGAGCCAGGATTGCTTTAAAAGCAGAATTCCAGGAGATATTTAACCTCTTCATGACTACAATATAACTTTTTAAGTCAATATGAAAATGCTATTTACCATGAGAATGCTAATTAACCTCACAGCAGAGAATTTAGAATGTACAAATGTGTGTGTCCTTAGACCCTCTGTCAAACAGAAAAATTTGAGTAATTGTCAAGCTAACTGAAGCATACTTAGGGTTGCCACCTGTTTGGGATTCACCTGGACAGTCCGGGTTTTGAATGCTGTATCTGAATTTCATGGCAGATGAAACCTGGACACAAGATGTCAGGCAGACAGGTGCAACCATGGGGCAACAGAAAGGGTCTACAGGTCTGCTGCAGAAGGTCTCCCCATCACTAAGTATGCCTGAGGACTGCGCTCTTTGACGCTTCGTTCTCCCCTTCCCCCTTCTCTCTTTCCTTTCCCCCTTATTGTCCCGCAAACATGTTCTCATGGATGAAATTGTGACAGTATTTTTTTTGGCCCATTTAGCAAGCTCTTACCAAGTGGCTGTCTCTTCTCTCTCTCTCCTGGCTGTCGCTCCCATCTCTCTCCCACTTGGCTGTCTCTCTCTCCCCCTTGGCTGTCTCTCCTCACTCATCTCTTGGCTGTCTCTCCTCACTCATCCTCTTGGCTGTCTCTCCTCACTCTCTCCTGGCCATCTCTCCTTGCTCTCTCTCCCGGCTGTCTCTCCTCGCTCTTCCCTGTGTATTCTACAAAAAAAAATTGCAACATAGCACTAGAGTGTTCTGGTTTTGCTTGAAGAAAAGGTGGCAACCCTAAGCATACTGACGCTGCTAAAGTTGGACTGGTCAATTAAGCTTCAAAAAACTGATCACAAAAAGGGTTACATTGATGAAGCTTTGCACTCATTAATGCATTCTTATCTGTACTTTTCTAAATGCAAGAAGTACTTTAATTTGACTCAGTACCAGCCCCCTGCAGTCCCTATACAGCAGAGCTCAGATTGGGGGAGAAGCAGCACCAGGAAGCAATCAGTTCTACTGTGCAAGGAACATGCTGATAGAAAAAGGGAAAGTGGAGCGATAGAGAGGGGAGCTCATCATTCTGCTGCTTCTCCTCTCACCGTCCAGCCACATAGTGGGGTTGCGGAGAAGACCTCTATGGGTTACTAAAATGCAGCAGATAAAAATGAGGTTTCTTACTCTGCTAAACAGAGCTGTGTGGCAATGCTGTGTGAATCTCAGGAATGCATAGACAGAAAAACAAATCCTTTGGCAAGTAGAACAACTTCTTTACATGTATTTCATCTTTCTAATTAAGTTCAGCTTTAGGTGTAACAATCTACACTCTTATTCAGCATTTGAGAACATCACAGTAAAGTGACACAACTCTTTCATAACTTCTCTACAGAAGCTACATGCAAAAGAGGAAGGTCAAACATTGACACAGAGTTTAGTTACTATGTTCGGGTGCCTCATACAATCTATCAAAATATCTAAAAACTATCATTCATAATAAAACAAAAGAACCAAGGTTCCCCCCAGCTGCTTTACTCCATATTGTTTTCTCCAAAAACAGGACACAGTTTGATAGTCAAGTTGACATGTAAAGAGAGGCCAGTATACAGTTAAATCCCCGTACTGTGATTTTTTTTCTAAACATTTTTAATATATATTACAAATATTTTGTATAATACAAAATAAATAAAATTACCAAAAATTGGGTTGGGCGAATACATATTCTTGTCTTACCTTCCACAGAAGAATCAGCATTTATATAAGCCACTGCCCTCTTTTCTAGAATTTTTACATTTTCCTGCAATCCAAAACAGAAAACAAATTAAGGCAAAAATAAATTATGCAAAGGACCAGGTTTAAACTACAAAAAAAAAAAGTTTCACCGCTCCATCTGATGCCGAGCCTCCAGCACCTGGGTAGATATGGGTACAGGCAGGGTGCTGTCCTTGCTCCAATACAGTAACACAAGGGGGAAAAAAAGCTGCACACCGTGATCCACCTGATAAAACACCTAATCCATAGGGCTGAGCATTTCCACAAAGAAGCCAGATTCACTAACGCATTTCACCAATTTTGGGCTTAATCATAGAGACACAGGTGATCTCAGGAATGGAAGTCCTAATATACACATCACAGCCCTTATACCTAAGCTCGCCTCATATGTCACCCTCACCTGTACTCTAATTCCCTTGATGTGTATACTAGAACTTCCGTTCCCAGGACTGCCCGTGTCTCTATGATTAAACCCTAAACATGTGAAATGTGTTAGTGAAGGTGGCTTGTCTTGATATGGTGGAAATGCTCATCCTTATGGGTTAAAAGTGTATTACACTCGATACTTAGAGTCACACCTCCGCACTCTCAGTGGCCTTGGTGTGCTAAAGTCCTCGTAGAGCGATTGCTGATCTTTATTCACTGGTTGGTTCTTCGTGTAGCTCGACCAGTCACCGGTACAGCGACATCTGATACCATGGAATGTTCTTGGGGGTCGGGGTATTCAGGGAGTGGGGCGATATGAGGGGTCAGGGTACGCAGGGAGTGTGGGGTCGGGGTACGCAGGGAGTGTGGGGTCGGGGTACGCAGGGAGTGAGGGGTCAGAGTTGTTCTGATCATTGTAATTTGTTTTTTTGAGATTAAAAAAAAAAGAAAAAAAAGTGTATTACATTATACAGCAATGCAGTTTTGCATCAGTCATAGACTACTACAACTCTCAGCAACACATTATACAGCAATACAGAATTGCACCGGCTATAGAGGACTACAATTCCCAGCAATATATTATACAGCAATGCAGAATGCCATCAGTTATAGAGGACTACAAATCTCAGCAATACATTATACAGCAATGCAGAATAATACTATATGAATTTGCTACTTGCCCCTATGCTCTGGCCTGCTGTCTCGGGCAAAGGGTATCAGGACGGGGAGATGTGGAGGATCTCAGAAAGGGGGGATGTGCAGGCAGCAGAAGCACTGTAAGCAGGCACCACTTCTCAAGAAGGTTGTGTGGGACCTCAGGCAGCCTTATCAATTTGAAAAATTAAAGCACCAGTATTGATTTTTGGCATTGGGGTATTTTCACAAGTAGGAGTACTCGTGAAAACGCCCAGTATTGGCACCAATACAGATATTATTATTATATAGCACCAACAGTTTACGCAGCACTGTACAATATAAGGAAGACATTACAATCACAATACAATTCTAGACAAGATGGTAAGGAGGGCCCTGCCCCTGAGGGCTTACAATCTAAGAGGGAGGGGGAAATGATACATGAGGAGGTAGCTGTGTGGGGATGAATTATTTGAGAAGGTGATGGTTCAGTGGTTAGGTTGAGGTGGGATAGGCTTCCCTGAAGAGATGAGTCTTAAGGGATCACCTAAAGGCAGTCAGAGTAGGAGACGATGGAGAGGTTGGGGTAAAGAGTTCCAGAGGATGGGATAGACTCTAGAGAAGACCTGGAGGTGAGCATGGGAGGGGTTGATGAGGGTCTTTGGAAGAGTGGAGGGACGGTTAGGCCGATACTTTGACACAAAGTTGGAGATATAGCCGGGGGCAGAGTTGTGGATGGCTTTGTAAGTGGTTGTTAATATTTTGAATGGCGAGGGAAAGCCAATGTAGGGATTGACAGAGGGGGGTTGCAGACACTGAGCGGTTGGTTAGGTGAATGAGTCTAGCAGCAGCATTCATAATAGACTGAAGGGGGGCGGGGGGCCTGTGTAGAGGTCAGCCAATGAGGAGGGAGTTGCAATAGTCAAGACGAGAGATAACAAGTGAGTGAATGTATAGTTTTGCGGTTTCATACAGGTATCGGTGCATCCCTAATTGACACACTGTCACAATATTCTAAGTCAGGTTAGGACTAATAAAGCAAGACAATGTTTGGTGTAAGGTTTCATCAACAGTGGCCGATATTGGACAATTGCAGCAGGAATCCCAGATGTCCCATTTAGATGCGGCCGCTGTACCCATTGAAGTTAATGACCAGGTGCCGCATCTGTTAGCGGCTGTCTACATGTAATTGTATGTGATACGATTACATGTGGTTTGGAATACATCACTGTGCCTGGAAGCATGAGCGATGCGCCCACCGACAGTCATTTATTCCAATCTCACAACTTTGCATGTAATCATATATGATAAGATTGCATGCAGAGTTGTGAGACAAGTGTAAGCTTTTTTTCTAGGCTAGCTGGTAAGTGTGCTGGGAAATGTTTGTGTTTGAATTGTGGAAAGTCCTTCTACATGCACCTTACTTTGCATGCTAGTTACAAACTGATTTCTGTGGTTGCCATATTTGTTTGGCTGGATTTGGTGTGGGGCTTCAGTTGCCATTGTGATGTGCGGGGCTCCTGGTGTGTCCTTGTGCCTTTAAGGAGGGATGGGCTGCCTCCAGGCAAACCTGCCCTCTAATTCATCCAGCAGGTTGTGAAGCAGTGTAAGCTCTTTTGTTTTGCAGGCTAGTTTGTAAATGTGCTAGGAAATGTTTGTTTTTGTCACCGATATGCAGCACTTCTAAAACACACTTGTGTAAATACCATCACATAGTGGGATTATCATCCTCTTCAGGGCCGCCGTCAGGGGGGTATGGCCGATACTCATGCAAGGGGCCCGTCAGGGACCCATACATGAGTATCGGCCGACGGTGAAGGGCGAGGAGGCGGCCTAGCCCCCACAGCAGCAGCGGTGGAGGCCTGGCCCTAGCAGCGCAGGGCCCCAGCATTGCCGCTCCAGCAGCTTCGAGACAAGCTGGGGCTCCATCAGCGCCTGGAGCCGCTGTCCTCATGTCAGTTTCAGGATGACAGTGGCTGTGTGCGTGGCCGAGCGGAGGATCGGTAAGTATCATTGATATTTACCGATCCTCCATGTACGGCACAAACACTGGAGTGATCGTCTGACACAACCCCCCTCCCCCTCCCCCACACACACATAACATACACGTGCACCATATTGTGTTCTACGCCAGGCACATGCGCTGCAGTGCGTTGTTAGAATGCATCGCAGTGCATGATTTTTTTCTATTGTAAAAAAACATTCATTTAACTGTGGCAGCGCATGTCAAAGCTTTGTGACGCATTGCCGTACGTTGTGATACCTTGTGTTGTAATTAAATATACACATTAAGCGGCTGCCTGAGGTCCCCCCCTGAAGCGGTTGCCTGAGGTCCCACGTTGGCTGGGGACCTCGGCAGCCTTCCTGTTAACCACACAGTTTAATGGCGGCAGGGGGTTAGGGGGGCCCTTCATAGTTTCTTGCCCTGAAGGTTCTAGTTACGCCACTGAATTCCAGCAATACATTATACAAAGCTGCAGCGGCGGATCCAGGGATATCTGGATCCACCGCTTACACTATAATGTCCCAATCACATCAGTTTCTGTACAGAGGAGCTTACACTCTAATGTCCCCCCCACAGAGACTGATGTGACTGTGGGGGGGCATTAGAGTGTAAGCTCCTCTGTACAGAGACTGATGTGACTGTGGGGGGGCATTAGAGTGTAAGCTCCTCTGTACAGAAACTGATGTGACTGGCTCAGTGTTTTCTGTACAGCACTGCGGTATATATGTCAGAGCTATATATATATATATAGGCTGTGTAGGCCCCCCTACATGGCCTAAAGCCGTGTAGGGGCCCCCAACATTTCTGATGGCTGCCCTGATCCCCTTTATGAAAGATTACAACTGAGCTATAAAATCAATATTAAATGAATAAGTTAGCATTTCCATAGAACAGAACTATACATGACTATACGTGACAACTGCTTCTGCTGTGAATTTCAAGAATGAATTGCGCCACAATGTTTGCAACTACAGACATCAGTGAGGGCTTTAAACCTCATTTGTGGATAGTTAAGAATAAGTATTGAAATGAACATAGCCTTGCCACAATTTTACTTTAGGGCTCACACCATCTGCGTTCAGAGTGCACTGGTCTTTTTTTTCAAGCGCAGCCCAAAAAGCAAGACAATGCAATTTGCCTTGTCATGGATGGGCTTGGTTCACACCACTGCATTCCGGTGGTGTGCGCTTAAAAAAAAGAAGTACAGCATGCAGTAAAAAAAATAAAAGACATAGTATGATGCGGCTTCATTGAGCACATCTGCACTGTCCGGGGCCACGCACACCAGCAGCTGTGTGGTTGAGCATGGCTGCTGGTGTGAACGTACCCTTAACTTGTCACATGTGCAGGTGAATTTTCCCAGGGACCGTAGTGTATAAACATGGCGAATTTGCAGCGGGCTAAAGGTTTGGGTTGACAGGAAATTGATTTATTACCTCTGCCCATTCCGTGGATCCTAAGAGCCCAAACTCTTCAGCATCCCAGCTGGCAAATATAATTGTTCTTCTTGGCCTCCAACCTAAAATAATTTTGAGAAAACAGAGGCATCATGGATGGATATAGACAATGTTTTAAAATTTGGGTCATCACAGGTATTTATTTCTTGCTGGTGCTAGAAAGCTAAAGCAAGCGTTAAGGACAACTAATCCCAAGGTCCCTAGATGTGTCTGCATTAGTTTTCATTGTTCAGACTTAGAACTATTTTTTAGCAAGTACAGAAAAGAACTGTTGATCTTTCCAGAATTTTAGTTCCTTGTCACTTCCTGTGAAAGGAACTGGAAGCAAATACTAAAAGACAGGGAACTCAGGTTAAGGAGGGGCTTATATAGGGCAAAGGGGGTTGATCTTTAACCCTTTTTTGTTCCTGTTACCTAGGGGAAATAAGCTATCCCATTTGTCAGCGCTGCCATGGAGTATAACCAGGAAATCTGTATTACACTGTAAATTACTCATCCATTCGCCCCAATGGAATGGAAATGAACAAGGCAGATACGTTCCATTTCCAACCTGTGTGGCAACCATGCAAGATCCACAAGCTGGAAAAAAAGGGAAAAGAGCCTTAAAAAACAAACAAATGCAGTCTCTACATCGATGGACTGATAAGCTGCAGTATATTGCACGTCTTGGGGTTCAAAAAACAAAACAAAATTAAAGCTGGCCATACACTGTGCAAATTTTAGGTGGTTCTTGATGAACTGGCCGGAATTTGCACAGTGGGTGCTGCTCTCGGCACCCTTTCAGCCAGCATCCCTCGAAGGCGTCAGTCAGAAAATCTTTGTGTGACGAGAGCTGGCAGCCAATGAGCTGCTGGCTCTGCTCGGGTATTCTGACAGCGACCGGCCGGTGCTGTGCTGTCAGAATACACAGAAAACAGCTGGGATTCCCCAATCAATGCGCTCGCTCTGAGCGAAAAAATTAGAGCAGTATATGGCCAGCTTAGCCATTGCAGTGGGGCTACCCCCACTATGCAAGGGTTAACTGCTCATTTTTAGACTAGGGGCCAGAATAAAGAAGATACACTCACTTGATGCTTTTTCCTGTCTGGCTGCCAGACCAGTCCTCGCAGCCTCTTCTCCCCCTGGCTCTGGCGGTCTAAGCCCCGCTGAGATCATGACGTCTAATGCAGGTCCATTCACCCACATTATTGGTGAGGGCGCTAAGGGATACAGCCGGAGTGGAGGGGGAGAGGGGTCAGTGCTCACTGCTGCAGGACTGAGGAACAGGCGAGCATATCTTCTTTATTCTGATTACCCAGACCAAAACGAGCAGCTGTAGTCCCAATGCAAGGGTTAATTTTTGGTACTAGCAGTAGTTCCTCTTTAAGTACCTCTTGTAGTGACTGTAGCATGTAGTGACTAAAGAATAACGAGACCAGACCTGTACCCAGCACCAAATCGAATAGCTAAATTTAACCCTGTATATTATTATCATTGGAAGACTAGTGACAGCTGCTTGACTTGCCCAGGGCTGATGCAGTGCAGGTTTTCATTAAATGAGATTATACATGAAATTTGGGTACAGCGGGATACAAATGCTGGCATATAACCACATGAGCTGAAATATTACAACAACAGAAATATATCTGTAACATAAAAAATTTAAGGGAATTAAATGGATTACCTTGCGTTTTCAATTTCCCCGCACTTCTGACGATCTCGTTCACCACTGCCGCTCCACTCTGCGGGTCAATCCCTCCAAACACCCAGGAATCCCTATGGCCGCCAAGGATGACATACCTGTCTAAGAAGGACATTGGCTTGTTTTAGGAACTCCGCTGGGCATTGTATGTACTATGTAAACTGACCACTTGAAAGAACTTTAATGAAATCTCACAACACCAGCACTGTGAAGAATAGGACCGTCTAGACAGTAAGGTCCTTTTGGATGTAATTATGGAATGACCACTTATGACACCACTGGGATCTGGTGGCTTACTGTTCAAGCCTTCAGTACTGCGGGGAGGCAGGTATAATGCCCTGCACTTTCCCATTCCAAAAATATTCAGAATTCTTTAGAGACGGGCTTGGCATGGTTGTGGAACAGTGGTAATGTATAGGCCCAGTGGGTGGCTAGTGCAGGGTGGGCTATATATTTTATTAAAGTGACAAGTTTGCATCTAATGCCCAACCTTTTTTTAACCACTGGGGAGATTTCCCTTTGCTTCCTGTCCCGTAGATACAACAGGAAGTAAGAGGAAATCTCTCTGAAGTGACAGAAATCCTCATAGACAGCTGCCGCTGGAACAAATAACCCCATTAGAAGATTTCTCCTCTATTCCTGTTCTGGTGACAACCTAACACTTTGGATTTTCCCTCACTTCCTGCCCTTGTGAGACTCCTATGGGAACACTTGTTCTGGTCACGGCAACTGTTTAAAAAGAGGAATTTCCTCACTTCAGGGTCCATGCACACCACATGCGTTTGGATGCGTTTTTTCCAGCACATTCCCAATGCACAACAGTATCAAATACATGAAAATCAACAAGGCCCGGTAACACCAGCACATTGCGCTGTACTGCCTTTATCTGCTCTACTTTTTTTCACTGCAATGTGCATGCAGCGCTTTGTGCACAAATGCAACGCATCATGCAAAATATAAAATAAAAAAGTTGCTATAGAAACATTTAAAAAAAAAAGCTAAATGGAAAGAAAAAAAATGCATTGCAGCATAGCATGATGCAGCTCAGCATGCGTAAACACGTTCACCAGCACATGCCGCACTGCTTTATCACATGCGTTTTGATGTGAATGGACCCCAAAAGGTGCCCATACACCTTACGATTACCGTACGATAATCATATGCGATCGACTTTTCGTACGACAACCTTTAAGGTGCCCATACACTGCTCGATTCTCGTACGAGAATCGCGGGAAATCCCGCGATCGTACGAGAATCGAGCAGTGTGAATGAAGACGTTTCTACTGTACGGTCGCACGTCTTTTGTCTAGGAGCACGCTAGAAGAACGGTGCTCGGGAGACAACTGCCGAACGGGCCGCTGTGCGCACGCGCACACTGCCCGTTCAGCATTACGGTCATCGGAAGCCCGCCCCTCAGGGGGGCAGGCTTGCGATGATCGAGAGTACGATCTGCCTGTCCAAGATGGGCAGATCGTACGTTTTTTAAAATACTTTACAACCATCGCTAGACTAAGGTCTTGCGATGGTTGTAAAGTGTATGGCCACCTTTAGAGTGATATCCACTTACTTCCTGTTGGGAAATCTCACTAATTGGACACAGACAGCAAATTTAAAAAAAACCTGATTACTGTATCCAACACTGAAAAAAAGAAAAGCTTTAGCTTTATATACTGTATACTTTATGGTTATACTAAGATAGGGATTGCACAAGGCACAATGACAAAAGGGCCCATTCCCACCAAATCCGTATATAAAACGTATGTAATAAGCTCACGCATTTCCATTTTTTTTTTTTAAGGAGTTATCACTCCTACCAGTAAAAGAGATGCATTTGCATGCGTTACAAAAATCGCAGCCTGCTCTATAGTCTCAAAAGGCGACGCAATGCACTGGTGTTAACCACGCCATCAAAAAAAACGCTATGTTTTGTGTATCTGCATTTTTACTGTGCCAAAAAAATTAATTGTGTGGGAATGGGCTCTCAGCCTCACCCATGTAGTCCTAAGACAAGGTGCCCTATAGCCTGCATTCATCTATGTGATTAATGGAGCCGTAATAGAAGCACAGCACAAGCAAGCACTGTAAGCTGGCAATGGTGAGCAAACAAATACACAATGCAGCGTCCTTGAGCTGCACTGCAAGTGATTGATGGCTTTATTTTTCACTGAGGTGAATGGACGTTGTCAAACAAACAATCGCCATGTGCACAAGCTCTGAGCCAATGAGGTGTGCTTGTCTGACGTAGGTCACAGCCAATGTGACAGATGATTTTTCCTGATCACACATTCATCATCTTGATTACTTAATTAAAAAGGTTAACTTCTCAAGCTTAACCAACAAAAAGCTAAAATAAATCAAAAAAGATTTGATTGTACTTTTCCAGCTACAATCCCATCAAAATTACATTTTTCTAACTAACAATTTCAATCCACAAAAACAATCAGCAGTAGAAAAAAAAAGTCCAACCACATCATGGATTGGACTGAAATATTCACATTATATAATCGAATATTTGGACTGAAATGTGTGGATACCATAGATTCAAAATATCAAATCCTTAATGCAGAACTCCTTATTAGGCCTCATTCACACTGCTTAGAGTCGGCCCGTACAGATCTGTGCGGCGTACGGCAGCGTACTCCCATAGCGAAGAACAAGCTGCCGTGTACAATCACACGCAGCACCTGTCCTTCCCAGGAGTGGCCCAATACGGCCATGCACGCCGCACGGATCTGCACGGGCCGACTCTAAGCAGTGTGAATGAAACCTTATAGTTGTTATTCTGTTCAGCCAGTGATTCTGTTCAGCGAAAGTGGCTTTACCTTCTTTGAGAAACCCCGCATTCGCAAAGCTGCAGGTGACCGAATGGAAGGGAGTGCCCCTAGAGGAGAAGGGGGGCAGGAACAAAGCAGAAGGTTAATAACGCTTCTGGTCTTCCCCCATTCTTCTCTTTCGGCGATAGCTTCGTTAGCCTAAGTAAGGGCTGGGTGATGCGGGGAACTAATGTTAATGTTAAAGTTAATCTTGATTTGAGAAATATTGAATTTGCTGATTTGGATATATTTGTTAAAAGCCGGATTTGAAAGATCTTTTGGAAACCAATAAAAACTTTGAAAACAGCCAGTCTCAAACCTGCCATTCTAAATGACCAACAGGCAACTCGAAACATTATCGTTCCCTCTCCCAGCCTCACTTCAAATAAAAATACATGTAAAGCTCAGTTGAAGTCCTAAAAATAGATATGAAGTCAGGAGTCATTGTACTAACAACCTCCACTATCCTGTTGCAGCATTTCTGCAATCCAGAGTTAGACCCAGTGCACTCAGTGATCAGAGCTTAGTAACAGATCTGAGGCGTGTTTAGTCGCTCAGCTGCTGCCCATGGTGAGTTAGCAAACTGCTGCTGAATGCTATTCTGCAAGTCAGCACTAAGCATTGCCTTAGCACTCGCAGCAGACGTGAATGTGTATGCAGAGTTCTGAGTGTGATGGAGTAGGTGGGGAAAGAGCACCAGCGGCCATTTTAACTGTGGGCACACCTGGCAGCGCTGGAGAAAGGTGTCTGAACCATGATAGAGGAAATCACCATTCAGCGTGGGAACCTACAATGATATGTTTTGGTTAACGAGCACACCAAATATTCGTTGGAAAATTGTATTTATTAGTCAAAAATATTATCCTCCGCCATTTTGCTCAGCACTGTGCAGCCAAAGCGTTCAGAGAAGCTGCTGCAGCGAACTGAAGTGCTGCAGGACAGCTTGGCTAATGAACTGAACACACCTCTGGTAAAACACGTTCTCTCTCTGACTGCAATACAAGTCTGGGTGAGGACTGAGGTGCTGAGGGGTGTGGCTGCTAATCAGCTCTGCCAGCACAGACCTCTGCTGTGTGTGGTGCAAAAAGCAACATTTTTACTGAATTATATTTAATTCATTATATTACAAAAAATTATATTATGGCATTTCCAAGCAAAAATGGGTCACAAATCATAACACACACAGGATATAGGACCATAAAAAGATAAAAACGAGGAAACTTCAATGGCCTTTTAAAGGATGTGAGACTTCAATTGAAATTTTAAGTATTTTTAATGACTCGCCATATGTATTAAATGGTTGGTAGGTTTTTTTCGTTCTGCCTGGAGTTCAGTTTTAATATAAAAGGGACTCTTTATATCAAGTAATACTTAAAAATACATGTACTTATATTAAAATGAACGCAGAACTACTTTATACTCCTATTAATAACCATCTATCAGTTCAGATGTGTTACGTGTTCTACAGGAAGGATTAGGAATTGCTGTACATGAAAGGATTAGAATATTGCACTGTCACCTGGCTCCACGGCTCCTCTGATGGTTCCAATGACATTATACACTCTTCTTATTTCGTTTAAGACAACCAGTTAGACCACATGGATGTGAATTTGGTCATACTACCTCTCTGCTTAAAAGTGACACTTTCATATTCAACCATCTTATCAAGTTCCACAAGCCATAAATTCAGCGTGGGGGGAGAGGGAGAGATCCATCTACGAACTACCAGCCTGGACGCTGTGAATAGGGCTCGATTAAGGGCCACAATCGCGTGAAAGGCTAAATTCGATGCATCAATAACACCAATGATACAGACTAGTGGAGAGCTAAGTAATGAGGATTCAAACACCAAGTTAAGGACATCTAGAACCTCATCCCCATAACGTACCATGTATTCCATAACTTTATATTGTTTTCATGAGCACTACAGAAAATAGAAATTCACTTACTCTTTGGCACGACTTCCAGAATAACCAGGGCCAATGTTGTACGATATGTTGAGACCTCCCTTCCAGGCTGGGTCTGGAGATGGGCTTCCTCCCAGGTTCCTGTAAAATATGCAGAAAATGGAGGGGTTCACTTTTTAGCTAAGTAAAGAACAGTTATACGCACCCGAGCCTGGAAGCTGGCTGGCTGTTACAGCGCTCCCTCCAGCCTGTCTCCTCCTCTGCAGCGGTGATATGTCCCTCGGCATCCTCATGTTCTATACACTGTGTATAGAAGGTGATGACACAGGGATCTTAGACCGCTGGAGCAGAAGAGGAAAGAATCTGGAGGGACCGGTCTAACAGGACCCAGGATCAGATGAGTATTTACACCCTAAACAAAGCCTCACTGCAAAAGGTTAAGAACAATTTTTCCCGGAGTTCTTTAAAATCCATTGTTAATTTTTTGCTGCCTGAATCACATTGGCAAGACAGTGGTGTAAATTGACCATATACAGATTGGTTGGTCGCCCTGCCAGCATCACTTGGCTCGAAGGAGCTGGGTGAAAAATTGTTGGCCAAACAGCTGCAGTCACTGTTTGGGTATTCCGACAGACATGGGTGCTGGCTGTCAGAATACAATAGTCTAAAAGGGGAGATCCCTCCATTCACACTCTTTAGCAAGGTAATTTTTCTCATTCAGCCCACAAATGAATGTATAGTATGTAAAGTGCACGTAAACTGTCGGCGCCATATAAGTACCTAAAATAAATGAATTGACAAGACTTCACTTTCTGTGGTGAAAATGGAACAGGAAGTTGGAGGAAATCTGTACAAAGTGAGGGGAATTCTCCTTTTAGACAAGTGTCACCAGAACAGGTGTCACCAATGGAAGACTTACCCTCACCTCTAGTTCTAGGTAAAACATTAAAAGTTCCAATCGCTTTCTGTTTCAGAGACAATGGTCACCAGTGGTGTCACAAGGGGGGGGTGCAGCCCTCACTGGATGACACCATCAGAGGGGGCGATACCAAAATGACTGACAGTCATTTTGGTATCACCCACTCTTAAAAGTCGGGCACTCAGTCATGGCCCTAGAGTCTGAGAGAGAGGGGAGAGGATCCTCTCTTTCCTGCCGTCCATCACCAACATGGACATCACCGCACATGCGTGATTGCGTCACACTACAGACGTCATAGTGCATTTGCCGTTGCCAGGTGACACCCTCCCTGGTGCTGCCGCTGAAGGTCACCAGGGCACACAGAGGGCTGAATCTACCCAGCGGGGACACATACAGCCATAAAAACTTGACAGATGTTCTAATCAAGCCCCACTCTCTCCAAAACGGAAAAAAAAATTGTTTTCCTATAAAAACAATTCCACTTTTTTTAAAGGAATACATAACTACAGTCATTGGTATCTGCCTTGAGTTCTACTCTATAAAGCTCCTCGATTTACATCATACTCATCCTTACCTTAGTAGCATCTCAGCATCGCTGTACCCTATAGGGTGGACTGGGATTTTAGGGAGTCCTACACCATCCTTCACGGAAGATCTGTAGGCGTACTCTGATGAAAACAAAATATGAAATACTAATTCTAGACTAGAATTAAACATGCCACCTTACCAAATCATAGGAGGTCACAATCAGGGGTGTAACTGTAGATCATGAGGCCCTTTTGCAAAGTTTTGATGAGGCCCCTGGGTGACCTCCCTACTGTCAATGATATTAAAGTCAGGTAGCAGGAGAGCTATATGCATTTGCTTTCTTGAATGGAAATGTCACAAGGGGTACAGGGTCAGTGTCAACAACAACTTCTGCAATCCTTAATGGGGCCCCTTTTACGCCCCCAGGCCCAATAGCAACTGCATGGGCTGCTATGGCTATTGTTACACCACCGGTCACAATTATGCATGCAAGCTTGACTAACACAATGGAATAACAATATATATACACACACATTGAAATTACTACCAGAGTCACATACAGTAGACTGACTATTTGTGGTTTTCAGTCAATTTTCAAAATTTTACTACTAGGTGCAGAGAAGTCCTTCTGACAAACAAACACCAGAGTTGTTCTCCAGTCCTGGCACAGATATTACAGTTTATATCAGACAACCTCCCATGTTCGAATATAAAATGTAGATGCAGCTAAGAATATGACCAGCTGTCTGCTGATCCGGTTCTTGTACCTTTAGCAGGGTAACCTGGAGTTAGAGGGTCTCCGGCTCCATTAAGGTTCAGCACGTTCCCTCGCTGGGCCCCTCCGCCTGGCAAGTTCCAGCCATCCGGATAGGGCTCTACGCCAGGGGCGCAGTAGTCGGCTGGGTCGGAAAACAGGATAATCCCAATGGCTCCTGCGTTTTCAGCATTATTGACCTGGAACAGCATTGTTACACTTTCATATCAAAATCAAATAGAAATATTGAACAAAATTGAAAGCATATTTTCAAAAAGAGAACCTTATGCAATGTCACATTTGTTTCCATCCAGAGCTGTATTATTTTTCACCAAATCTGATACAAGTGATCGAGCGTCTATAGAGACGCTCGATCGCTTGACTGTGTTGAGCTCCCGGCCGGCCGTGTAATTACAACGGCCGGCCGGGAAGCTGCTCGTCGGGCTCCACTTTCTGCTCGTCACAGACGAGTGGATTTTTCGAGCCCTGTATGTATATATATATATATTTCACACATAAAGATGTTATCAAGAAACTATAAAATTGCATCAGCTTACCCCATGAGGGGTGCCGTATTTTGAGATTCTTCAAAGTCCTTAAAGGAGGACTATGAGGTGAGTGATTTACACTCATCCTCATAGCTAAGGCCGACGTGTAACAATGAAACTGTCACAGGTCAGCTCTATAGATTGGGAAGTGAGCGAGCACACACCGTCGATCGCTCACTTCCCGATCATATCCCTGCAGAGAGCGGTGACAGTCAGTCACCGTTCCCCACAGGGATTCCCCCTCTACTCTCTGATCCTCCAGCACTGAGTGGAGGAACAGACGGGCCAGGAACAGCTGGCTCTGCCTCCAGATTGACAGCGGGCTCTGCCTATCAGCCAGCTGGGTGGATCCAGACAGTATTGTCGGGATCCGTCCTGGCTGCGGCGCTCTGAGTATAAAGTGGGCAATAGGCCGCTATATACTGAGCTTTGGGTCACGGGAGGACGTCAGTATATGTCCTCCCGTGACCCTAAAGAGAACTATGGGATAAAAAGCTTACTCCATAGTTCTCTTTTAGGAGACCCAAGCAACATTAGGAGGTGGATAGCACGTCCTCTAGGGATGATGGATATTTACCGCCGTTAATACAAAGTATGTATGTCCTTGCAATATATGCACACCCTTGGGAGATGATCTACCCTAAGCAATGTAAAGCATACTTGGCTGCAATGAAATCCAAAGCATGTTATCAGCCCTGTCTGAGTTCTCCCCTGTTGGACTACAGAACATCCTTCCCTCTCCTCATCTCCATACCATAAGGGGGAATCATGTAATCACAAGAGGAGAATTGGACAACGCTGCTTTAGATTTTAGTGCAGCAGAAGCAGACTGTTCAGAAGGTTAGGATAGAAACTCCATGGATTTCTGGCAGATTCAACAGGTATTTTTTATCTGCAGTTTTGAGATAAAACATAGGGGTGTGTGCATGCATTGCAGAGTATTGCAGAGATGCATTACATGCGTTTTTCTTTTTTTACATTTTGCCCAGACATACACATAAGACGTTGGTTTCTCACCTTATTTCCTCGAAAGATTTTTCCATATCTGGCGATAGCAATCTTCCCTTGAACACTGATGTTTAGGACTCTTTCCAGATAGTGGAAGTCTTCTATTCGGCCATAATTGACATAAACAGGCTCTCCCTGTGGAGATAAAAATACCTTTCTCAGACCATTGTGATCATCCGAATGGATTGCAGGACCTGTCACCTGTCCTGACTCTGCAAGAGTACATTAAATGATACTACAACTTAAAAAAATAAAAAAAAGCAAAAATGAACCGAACAGTCAAGATAATGAGCCACAATAATAACAACACACATGCTTTACTTCAGAAGAGTGCCCTGCTCATATATCTTCTTTATTGCAGAAGGTTCATGAAGTGCAAGAAGAAAACTGGGACCTGCTGGCTGTAAGGAAGTAGACTTACATGGAACACAACTACTGTGTAATGTTACTATAAAGCTTTCTCAGGCATTGATATTTCACTTGTGGTTTACAGCAGTGGTTCTCAACCTGTATTTAACCTCAGCACCCACATATGTCCTTGGTCATCGAGCCACATATGTCCTTGGTCATATGCATGGAGCACCATCCATATGTGCATTGCTGGTACAGCTCCCTTGCATGCTCTGTAGAGGTGCCGGGAGCCAGAATGTGACATCATTTTGGTCCAGGCACCTCTACAGGACACACGAGGAGCTGTAAGCAATGCATGTATGGATGGAGCTCCCTTGCGGCCATAGCGCAATCTCACCCCACCTCAAGTGGACACTCCGCGCCGTGCAGCATATTTTGAATGGCTGCTTGCAGCACGCACTAGGGGGAGGCTGATGAGCCTCTCACACTAGAAAGGTGGAAGAAGGTATGCGGTGACCCACTGAACACGGTGGGTGACCCACTTTTGGGTCACAACCTACCAGTTGATACCAATAGTTTACAGGGTATTAAACCATATCGTATTGATAAGTCATGCATATACCCGACAGCCCCATCAGCTCCTATTTGGTCTTAGTGCAACTTGATAGGTTCTCCTATTACACTGCGAGTAGGGTTTGTTTTTTTCAATCTCTTGAGCAAGACACCTGCAGTGTTCACATGAATTTAAAGCCTAACTCAGGGCAAAATAGTTATTGTTTAAAAAGCTCCATTGGCCTCTAGTTTAAAAATAAAGAAAAAGCAGCTCAGATTGTAATACCCCCTTTCAATCAAGAGCTGACCTCTGCAGTATCATTTCTTCACCACAAGATCTCCTAAGTCTTCCAGGCTGGAGGACACCTAGCAACACTCAACCTGGGCGCATACACCATGTCCTACCCAGATATCTGCGCTGGCGGATGGGAGCGGGGAGGGGGGAATCCAGTCCCTCCCCTGTCCCGGCTCTCTGCCGTGACAAGATCGAGAAGTGAGCGAACGCCGGTATGTGTTTGCTCACTTCCCGATCTACTGAGCCGACCTGTGACAGTTTCATTGTTACAGGTCGGCTAGAACTATGAGGATGAGTGAAAAGCACTCACCTCATAGTTCTCCTTTTGAGGAAAGCAGAGTATTCTGCAGGTTACTGAGTAGACTGAGTTGGAGATGCTGCTCTAGGTACCCAGGAATAAAGTTAGTAGTTTCTATATAATTGAACTAAACTATAGAATCATACAAGGTCAAAAACAAGCTTACCTCGGGGGTTCCAGCAGGTGAATATGCATTGTACGGAGGGACAACATTAGTGATATTCTCATATCCAGGAGGATCAGGCTCACGCAAAGACGTAGTACCCAACTAGACAAGATCAAATGCAAACACCAGAATGAATCAAAGACCATACTGAGGTAAAGAGATTTACTTCCAAAATACACACATGTGTGCAAATAGTTAAATTATATCTAAACCCAATAACAAAAATCTATTCTATTGCAGTGTACTAGGCCTTCAATGTGGGGGTTGCATTAGTTTTAGGGTTTTTCCCCCCTTTATTTTCACCTGGTGATCCTGCCGGGAACACACTTCCTGTCCTAGGGGACAATTCCCACTCTCTCTATGGAGGAACAGCATTGCCATCCTAGGCCACTTGTGGAATAGCAAAGGAGTGGACCAGGCAGGAGCTTCATTTAGCAGGTTTACTGATAACAGGTGTAGCTGGGACCGAGCAACAAGCAGTTCCAAAGAACAAAGACTCGCAGACCCCTTTCTAAAGCTGGCCATACACTTTACAACCATCCCAAGACCGGGCTTCCGATGACCGCAATGCTAAGCGGGCAGTGTGCGCGTGCGCACACCGGCCCGTTCGGCAATTGTCTCCCGAGCATGCCACAAACCAGCCGAAAAGCGTAAGATTTTCGGCTGGTTTTCGAACATGCTCCTTAGACAAAAGACGTGCGACCGCACAGTAGAAACGGTCGCACGCTTGCCATACACTTTGCGATTATCGTACGATCGCGGGATTTCCCGCGATTATCGTGCGATAATCGCACAGTGTATGGGCACCTTTTAAGAAATTTTACAGTACAACCATATGGGCTACAATATGATTGGCTGCCAAAGCCTACGTCACTGCAGTGCAACTTACCATAAATCTGACATTCCTCAGACAGTATGTCTCCCAAGTTGTTCTAGACCCTTCTATATGAATTCTTTTGCAGCCCAAGAGCATATACTGGACATGTGCCGAGAGTATATCTTCTGAGGGTTTATTAGTATGTCTGTATAAAGTTCACCTGGATGTCTGTATAAATCTGCTCAACTTCTAAGACTAAATAACTTTTAATATGAAA